TATGATCACGGAGATAAACCAGTGTACCCTCCCTCAGTGGTGCATCACGAACATGTTGATCGTGCCGTTTCTTACGGTACTCAGCAGCCTTGCTCGATGCTCTACGATCCACTCATGGACCCCGCCCTCCCCAGGTTCCTGAACCCTACCCAAAAGAAAATCAACAGGCAGTCTAGGTTCCTGGCCAAACATCAGGAGATACGGAGACTCACCGGTGGACTGATGGGGGGTGGTATTATAGCAGAACAAGATCTGCGGAAGGCAAGACGCCCAATCCCTTTTCCTAGAAGCTGGCAGAGTGCGAAGGAGGTTATGAAGGGTTCGGTTGAACCGTTCGCACTGGCCATTGCCAGCTGGGTGATAAGGCGTAGTACGGGATTTTTCAATCCCATAAAACCCACAGAGTTGTCTCATAAGGGCCGATTCAAAATTCCGACCCTGGTCGGAATGGATGCGACCTGGGACCCCGAACCGGAAAAACCACTCTGTGACCAAAACTTGTACAACGGTCTCGGCCCGCTGATCTCTGGTCGGAACGGCAAGGGTGTATTTACTGAACACGTCTGTTAACACTAAAACATTCTCATGTCCAGAAGAAGAAGGCTCAAGCATGGTAAAATCAATAGCCAAGATCTCATTTGGCTTAGAGGCTAGGACATGGCCCATAAAACCCCGGCCAAGTGGTTGGGTGTCCTTGGCCAGCTGACATCGCTCGCATTCCCGACACCACTGCGCCACTTCCGCCGACATCCCTGGCCAATAACACCGCTGCCGTATTAATTCTGTAGTGCGTTCAACACCCTGGTGTCCATGGTGCTGGTGCAATTGGGTCAATACATCACGTTTTAACGCTACTGGTAAAACCAACTGTAGCACCTCCTCACCACCATCAGGGCGTGACACACGGCGGTACAATACCCCATTTTTCTTTACGAGACGATCCCCTTGCCGAAGCAAAGTTAACACAGACTTGGAAAGATTTTGGCGCTCTGCAGAGCTGGGAAAAGACCCCTGTTCCCAAAACGCCAAAACTCTCTGAATATCAGGATCCGCCTCCTGTAAGGAGCTCAGGTCTTCGATTGAGAAACTGGGCAAAGCGGTGATCACTGCCTGATTGACCTGTACTACTGGTTCTGCCTCAGCTGCCTGCCTTACCATTGCTGGAATAACGGTCCCTGGTAAGAGATTCTCACGTGTCTCCTGCGAAAACTGGTGCTGTCTAGAAAGAGCATCCGCATTCCGGTTACTTCGCCCAGAGCGATACCGGACCTCAAAGTCGAAGGAAGCCAACTGGGCAGCCCAACGTTGTTCGGTGGCTCCCAATTTAGCAGATGTCAGGTGGCTAAGGGGGTTGTTATCCGTGTAAACAATGCACTTCTGTCCCAGTAAGTACTCCCTAAATTTCTCTGTCATGGCCCACTTGAGCGCCACGAACTCCAATTTCATGGAACTATAGTTGGTCATGTTGCGCTCAGTGGGCCTAAGACTGCGGCTGGCATATGCTATAGGGCGCACCTTATCTCCGTGTTCCTGCGAGAGGACCGCGCCAAGCCCGCTTTGGCTAGCATCCACCTCGAGAATAAAGGGCCGGGAGAAGTCTGCATAAGCTAGCACTGGGGCGGTAGTAAGCCTATTCTTCAATTCCTTGAAGCTCACCTGACACTGCTCCGTCCAATCCCCTTCTGTAAACCCACGAGGAGCCCGCTTCCTAGGTCCCGAACTAGAACACGCCGCCACCAGCTTATGCAGGGGGCCAGCCAATTTGGCAAACCCCTCTACAAAGCGGCGATAATAGCTAGCGAAACCAAGAAAAGAACGCAGCTCCCCCACATTAGATGGACGTCGCCAATCGGCTACAACCTCAATCTTTGCAGGATCGGTTGAAACCCCTTCGGCCGATATGACGTGACCCAAATACTTTACTTCTCTCTGGAAAAACGCGCACTTGCTTAACTTGACCTTGAGTCCTTCACGTTCTAACCGACCCAGGACAACCTCTAAACGCTCCAGATGTTGGGCTACCGAGGTAGAAAATACCACCACATCATCCAGATATAAAAGCAAAGACTGACACTGCTGGTCCCCGAATAGCCGTTCCATCAACCTCTGAAAGGTGCCTGGGGCATTGCACAGGCCAAAGGGCATACGGTTCCACTCAAAGAGTCCAAAAGGTGTACAGAAAGCCGTCTTAAACCGATCTTTCTCAGTGACTGGAACCTGATTATACCCACTGGCCAAGTCAAGTGTCGAAAACCAACAGGCACCACTCAGGGAATCCAAGGACTCATCAATTCGGGGCAGAGGAAACGCGTCTTTTCTAGTTCTGGAATTAAGCTGACGGTAGTCAACGCACATGCGTAGACTACCGTCTTTCTTCTTAACCAGCACGATCGGTGAAGCAAATGGACTACAGCTCTCTCTAATGATCTCAGCCTCAAGTAACTGGTTTATATGGGCTTTTACTACCTCATACTCTGATGGAGGTATCCGACGGAAGCGCTGACGAATAGGGGTCTCATCTACTAAAGGGATATCATGGCAGATTAAGTTTGTACAACCCAAATCTCCCTCCCCGGTGGAAAACACCGACTGAAACTTGTAGAGCAACGCCCTTACCTGACACCGCTCGACCTCTGATAAACTTGACAGATCCAATTCCTCAACCTGCTCGAGCACAGTAGATGCCACTTCTGCATTCTGAGCGCCCACAACAGCCACAATTGACTGAACTTCAGTAACACCTGCGGGCAAACTCACCACATAAACACTACTCAAGGTGCCAATGATGGAACGAGGGTAAAGCATCACATCAGTCACGCCAACATTTACTACAGGTATATAGGCAGTCCCCTGGCTTACCTGAACTACCGCCGGGGAGGCTAGCAACCCAGCAGGCAAACCGGACCCCGGAGGCTCAAAAAGGACAGCTCCATGAGAGTATTCCTCGGAGCAAGTTGCCGGAACAAACTTAACCGTGCCTCCTGGAATACGACAAGGCCTACGGCCTCGAACTCGAACCATACCAATGCGATTCAGGCTATTTGTGGTGTTAACATCACTACAATATTGTAGTGCCTGAAATACGAAATGCGGGGCTTTTGACACGTCTGGCAACTCGAAGAGGGCAGGGCCATGCTGTCCAAAAAGCCCCTGGTAGCATCGCTTCAGAACGTTCATTCCGAGAACGCCCGAAACCTGATCACACAAGCCACCAGGAGGATCTCGGACAACAAGCACCCCGCAATTTGAAACGACTTGGCCACAGAGCTCAATATCTAGCTCAATATAACCAAGATAAGGAATTGACAAACCATTAGCGGCACGAAGCTGTAACCATTGACATGACCGAAGTTGTTCCTGACCCAATGGCTCAAAATGCTGCCGGAAACAGCTCTCTGTAATGGTGGAGACCATGGAGCCGGTATCCACCAAACAGGGCAACAGCACTCCACCTATAGATACAACAAGATGAGGACAGGAGGACATTAAACGAGACGTATGAACTAAACCATTCGTCAACGCGGAGCCATTAGACTCCCCAACCGAGCTGTGGCTCTGCAGCACGGTGGGCACTAGTTTTCCGATTGTGCAGAATTGGAAGGCTGCTTACCCCCAGCGAATGGTAACATGGAATGCGGGGCCCGTTGGGGAGCTCGCTCCCCGTCGCACTCTCGGGCAAAATGGCCTGGCTTTTGACACCTTCTACAAATTACAGGTCCATTACGAGGAACTCGATTACGCACGTCTGGACCTTGCAATCGGGCGAAACTTTGTGTTAGCTGATTTAATTGCTCTTGCTGTACTTTCAGCATTTCTCTTAACTCACCCAATTCGGACGTTTGAAACGAATTATGGGTCCCCACCGGTGTATCCCCACGCACACCATACTGAATCCCATGTGCCAACGGGACAGATAAACTTCGGGCCCTTGCACCACCTGGCATCCCTTCCCGCTCCCATCGAAGGGCCTCGCTCCGCACATCTAACAAAGTGGAATTAGGTTGTCGGCGCACCAGCTGTTTAAGCTCTCGTCTCAAAGTACTATCATTAACGTGTTCAACAAATTGGTCACGTAGCACTGTTTCAGCGTTTACCAGAGCATGCGGAGACTGTCGCTTTACCTTCTCCAGGAGGCTCATCAAGGCGAGTGAAAACTCCAAAAGCGTTTCCCCCTCCTGCTGCCTCCTAGAGAAGAAAGCTTCTTGCAGGGAAATATACGACAACGAACATCCATACAACTCACGCAGTGCTTTAATAATTTTCTCCGGATCCCCACGTTCCTCGTCCGAACGATATCGTATCTCCTCTCGCGCCTCCCCCTCCAAGTGATCGAACAGAAAGAAGGCCTGATCTGCAGGGGATAAATAACGGGTTCTCATGCATGCCTTGGCTTCCTCAACCCATTCATTAATACTCACTCCAGACCTTCCACTAAATTTTGGGCACCTCCTATCTCGGGGCACAAATACAAACCTATCAGTTGCTGGAGTATTGGTACCAGTCACTGATGAAGGTATAGAGGAAGAGCCTGTGACAGAAGTGCTGGGTACAGGAATGCTAGCCCCCTGGAGATCAGACACTCCCTCCTGTCGCAATCTCTCGTTATCAGCTCGAAGTTGAGCCACAAGCTCTTTAAGTTCCTGTAATTCTCCCTCCATTATAAAAAAAATATATATATATATAGATAGATATATATACACTATACTCAACCTCAAGGAACGTCACTGAAGGTTTCCAGAGCACACGCTGCTGCTTTATTCCTACAAAAAGAAAGAGAAAGAAAAAGAGCAAAAAAAAACAAAAACAAAACAAAACATACATACAATACAAACTACTATACGGTCCCAAGCCTCTGCCAAAAATCCTGTGGACCCTGCCGACTGCGCCACATGTAGCAAGTGGCTCAATTTTAGTGACTACGCCACCCCAGGTTAACGGGGAAAATAACCTCGATATAGCACACAAATACGTTCCACCTAGAAAAGGCAAGAGGCATGGGCTTCCGTACAAAAATTGTTTTATTGACGTTAAAAGTTGATCAACAGTGCTTTAAAAACAGGAGTTCACAGGTCATGATTGGCTTAAATACGGTCAAAAAAATAATAAGCAAAAAAAACAAAATTCACAATAAACCTCACACGGCTTATAATAAGCTCACCAAATTCTCAATACACTTTTACAAAATTAATAACACACTTGACTTAACGTCGGAGACTGAGGCTTCAGCACAGGAGCAGGCTAGTGTGCCAGCAGCAGGTCCACCATAAGAAACACAGCAACCACTCTTACACCCACCCAATTCACTGCAAATAGCCAACGATAGTGACACGGCAATAATGAAACTGCAATAACATTCTCAGTGAACAAAACCTGCTGTAAAACAGACAACCAGCCCGCTCCAGGAGGGCCTCAGCTCCTAAAGGAAAAGAGAAAAAGAAAATACATAAGAAACTGAAAGTAATAAACAAAAAAAACAATATTCAAAGTCAATTTATTGACTTTAAAATAGCAAGAACAAAAGAAGAACAAAAAAAAACACTTACACACACCCCAAAAAGACAAACAATATATGGATACTATTAACGAATTAAAGACAGACAATTCAAATAAAATAAAAAAAACAATTGAAACAATTTCAAATGACCGCTGCAGGAACACACCCAGCAGTTATTCCAGACAGACAGTCACTCAAACTTACATAACTTGAAAACTGATCAACAAAAGAAAACAATACTAAAGAAAATGCCAACTAATAGCAAAAAAAAGCAACTAATCCTCAGGCCCGCATACACGCTTGACTTAAACGTATCGATGTGGAGAAAGCAGCAGCGTGGCTTCAAAGAGAGAGAGAGAGCGTGACGGAGAGGGAGAGCGCACCGTTTAATGCGACTGCTCACTTAATTAGCCCACTTTAGAGTCCACGAAAACCTTCAAAACAGTAAACAAGGAGGATTATAACTAATGAAGTGATCGACCAGTTACCCACCCGATAATGCCACAAAATACTAACCCAGTTTACCTACCAGAGAGTACGATCCAGTTACACGTCAACATATACCAGAGAATCATTTAACAGGCTCGTTGACTGAAACAGCTGGTGCTCCGATCAATTACATTGCGATGCCACAACGATGGAAGCGCTGAAGGCACATCATACTGGAACAAATTGCCACAATCCAAATCAGGGAGAGAAAAAAAAAACTTCCCCCTACGCCCCGGGATGGTACCAAGCCTACCTGGGAGTAAGCAGCAACCCACACGCACAAACCCTCAGCAACGCAGCAGGACACTCAGTCGGTGTTTACAACGGAAGGGGCGGGCTTTCAACCATGACGCACACCAAGATGCCTGAATGAAAGGTTTATATACCCCAAATGGGCAATTACTAATTGGCCACCTACCAAATTGTACTGACGTCACACGACTTCACTACACATACATTATCCCATTCATATGTCGCTATCAGCTGGCACATAAGCATTATTAGCCTTCAACTTGTGAAATATTGATCATTTTTTGGTAGATGGCGCGATCCGTTTTGTCTAACAAAACTTTGTTTGCAAAAGTTTGCTTGAATGTTGTTCGATTCAGTGCGAAAATAAATGGAAACACCTTAAAATGTCTCAAATCAATTCGATATACCAATTTGATCGCAAAACAGCATGTGACGTCATTACGTACAGGTTTTTATTCGCTTTAAAGCCGTTGGATGGAAACACACTTTCACCAGCTTTATCCGCATGAGTTTAACCGAATTTCAGATAATTCGATTGACAAGTTGTTCTTTATACAGAGGAAGGGAAGGAGACAGCGTGCATTTTATAGAAACTTTGTTTGCCATCTGCAGTGATTTCAGCTTTCAAGACTTCAGCCTCTAATCTCAAAAACATCATGGTAAATTTATGTGATGTTTTCGTTTTTAATGTTGGGTAGACTTCACGATAATTTGACAAAAAACATCATTTGAAACATGAGCTTCAGCGTTACTCAGTGAAGACGTAAAATTTAGCAACTTGCGCTCAAAGTTAGATTGTAGGTCATTGTTAACACATTGTTTTATTCATACTGAATCTGTGTTTTAAGCTTAGAATGAGTTTAATAATGACTCTTTCATAGAAACAGTCTCTTGCCGCAAACCACTGGCATAACAGTGTAACTGCACTGATTGACAGTCTGTCTAGGTTGTGCATTTGTGTCAGTGCTAAATGCTAATAACTTTTGAAACTTTTGAAATATTATAGGGTAATTTTGGAAATCTTTATTGTACAAAAAAAAAAAAAGAAAAAAAGAAGTTTACAAATAAAATAACCCAATAAGATTATTTATTTTGCATTATATTTCATTAATAATAATAATAGACCACTTTTATAACTTGGTTTCCATACAAGTAAATAAATATCAGTATCACAGGCTAAAAAGTAATTACTTGCGTAGTTTTTGAGAGGGATACTTTGTACTTTTACTTAAGTACATTTTTAACACCAGTATGCTTGTAATTGAGTATTATTTTAGCAACTACTTGTATTTAACTTGAGTACAAATTTTCAGTACTCTTGCCACCTCTGTCGCGGGGAGAAACCGCAGCGCGTGCTTCTCCCTGAGATAAGGCACTAGATCCAACAGGTATGGGCAGAGAAAGGGCAGAGCCCGTCACAAACCCCGCTGTTAGAACTATTTGCGATCCCTACGAACCATTTGCGATCGACGCTGTGCCTCGGCAGCAGCGGGACCCGCGCACCGAACCGTCCTCCTCAAAGAACGCCCGGCGAGAGCGGAGCGTCTTCACAGACAGCTTCTCCCAATGCTTACAGATCAGCTCCCTCGAGAACTGACCTCAAAACAACACAAAGCTGATGTGTGTCCCCACCCGTGACGAGGGCAGGGAACAATTAACACAACGCTTGTATTCTTGTTTTGCCAATATATATGATTGTGAACAGACAACAATAAATAAGACAGGGACAGTATACAGATAACGCTTACTGAAGACACAGAAGCTGATGTGGTCTGTTTTCTGGGGTACTTTATAGTTTTCCTGGTCATGACGTCACCGCCCATGACGTTTCGTTCTTCCATTGGACTGATTATACACGTGCTTCACGACGCAATCACGCAGAGCGTTCCCACCGCGTCCCAAACGCAGCTTGAGTTCCCTTGAAAGGGAACTAAACAATTTTGCAATCTTTTTTTCCCATTATCAGATGTTGTGTATGCCATAACAATGTTTCCACAAATTTGGTGTCTTTGTTGGTTTAGGCTATCTGTCTTCAGACAATTTCCAGTATTTTATTGATTCTCCATTGTCTCCATTTTTAAACATTTCATTAGGCTATCTAATTTTATACTACCGGGCTGTTGAATGCTTGATTCTGATTGGTTGAGAACGTTCTAAGGTGTGCAATCATTTTTCAGGGAAATGCAAAAGTAGTTTCAGGCAGGTTTGACCGCATTACAGTTCCATATCACTGCGCGTAGTTAACTCTAATAATTGAAAATATAAGATACAATTCATAACAAGAAAAAAACATGCAGCCCCATGCACTTGATCTGCAATTTTTGATGTCTAACTTCACAATCAATGGACACATACAGTTTAATTTTAATAAATAAAGTATGTAGTCCTATCAATAACAGGCTAAATAGAAAATTAAACTGAATGGGCTGTATGCACGGCTGTATTTCCGGTGAAGGTTTAAGGATGCTCGATAACTTCCGCCGATCGTAGAGTCCAATGCAATACTGAGAATGTATATTGAATTTTATACTCCATGGTTATGGTAAAGAAACTTTAGTCACAAAAACAGATAAAACAGACACCCCTCGTTGTGTTTATGCTTCTTTTAAAAATTATATTAAATAAAAATAATTATATATAAAATTAAATCTAAAAGTATGAAAGTTTCGTTTCAAAGATGAGGGACAGTAAATTTTGAAGACTCATAATCCCGTTTCCCTCGGTTTTCCTCCGCTTTAATCTCCCCAACCGGAAACTGTAGAGCATCATTGCGTCAAATGCGGAACTTATGCGTGCATATTGCCCATAGGCTATACATAAATTGATAGTCCTGCTGCACGGATTTTCGTAATTATTTCAGATAATATAACAAATAAATAATTATTGATAGGCCTACTTGTTAAAATGGCTTTGTGTGTTTCATTGGGTTATCTGTCAATGGGCTCTATGCACAGCGTTATTTCCGGTGAAGGTGTAAGGATGCTCGATAACTTCCGCCGATCATAGAGTCCACTGCAATACCGAGAATTTATATAGAATTTTATACTCCATGGTTATACTAATGAAACGTTAGTCACAAAAACAGATAAAACAGACACCCCTCGTTGTGTTTATGCTGCTTTTTAAAATTATATTAAATAAACATAACTATATATAAAATTACATCTAAACGTATGTACGTTTCGTTTCAAAGACGGGAGGACAGTAAATATTGAAGACTCTGCCATAATCCCGTTTTCTCCGGTTTTCCTCCGCTTTAATCTACTCAAACGGAAATGGACGAGCATCCTTACGTCAAATGCGGAACTTATGCGTGCATATAGCCCATTTTAGAAAACAAGAATGAACAAATTAATTAAAACAAATTGTATTAATAAATAAATAATAATAATGGCACAAATGCTTTTCTGTCTCATTATTTCAACATCTCTCTCTCTCTCTCTCTCTCTCTCTCTCTCTCTCTCTCTCTCTCTCTCTCTCTCTCTCTCTCTTCCTCTCTTTTATAACCACGTTAATAACTGCACAAAGCCGGGACACACTTAGGCTTACTAAGGCCAGTTATGAATGTAATTTGATACTTATGACTGATCATGCCCAAATTTGCGCATTCAGCGTGTTTAGTCTGTGTTCACAGTTGGTGTTTAAAACCTGCTACAGTCGATGGAAACAGTCGATCTTCGAATATTTCAGCGAGTCGAAAGTGTCCCCCCCCCCATCATTAGTCTGCTATCAGTGGGTCAAACTAACAAAGTCTCATCCCAAGACGTCATATAACTGACGTTTTGGGACGTCTTTTGACCATACGTTAACATACGCCTTTTTAGAGTACCCTTAAACGTCGGTTAAATTACGATCCCGGGCCGTCATACAACTGACGCTTTACCTTTAACGTCGGTTAGGTGACGGGGTAGGTTTAGGTCTGGGGTAGGGTTAGGATCCGATAACGTCATCTAACCGACGTTTAAGGGTACCCTAAAAAGGCGGATAGTGACGTATGGTCAAAAAACATCCCAAGACGTCAGTTATATGACGCCTAAAATGACGCTGTGGAATTAGCAACGCAGGCATGGGACTAGTTGCGTAAGATATTAGTCCTACATTCAAGGGCGTTTTAATAACAAAAACTTGACAAACGTCTTGAAATGCATCATCTGAACAATGTTTTGAGGTGTGGTAACTGCATTATAATCGGAATTATTGACTTCAGGCCATTGAATTATTCGAAAAATAATGCACACTCCGCTTCGCATCGTGACCGCATTACCACCTCGGGTGTGCATTGTTTTTCTAACAATTCAACGGCCTGTCGTCAATTATTCCTTACTTTGCTCTTCGCATCACCAAACTCTACAGTACTAGCGTATCTACAGACATGGCAGCCAATTAACATGAGAATTCTACCCTACGTTTGAGTTGTCATTACTTTACCTGCACCATATACATGTCTAGGCGACTTTAGAGAAAAGTATGTGAGTGTACGCCATTTAGATGACTCTTCACAGAAATAATGTTTTTTAATGAAAAACGTTTTAGCACCAAAATACTGAATGGACTTTTAAAGAAAGAATGCATATTAAAGTATGTGTGGGAGAGACAACATCCAAACGTTTTAGTATATTTATTAGATCTCCACTACTTTTTTTTTTTTTTTTCCGCAAAATTACAATCCTTGGCAAAACAGTCATGTCGACAAAGCTTTCATTGACTCTGACTGTGAGACTGCCGAGAGACAAAGAAAGAGCCAATGCAAATAACCAAACAATGGTTTAGCTAAAATATTTAGCACATGCCAACTAGCTCTCCTAGAAGAGAAATGACCAAAGACAGACATGAAACATGCTGTCCACTGCGTCCTGTGACAGGACTCATTACTCATGATGACAGGCAGTGCAGTGCAGAGAATTTCTGTCTATATATAACATACTCTGGTGTAAATCTCTTGCTCTCGCTTCCGAAGCCTCGTGTCTAATCATTCCCTAATCCCGCACGCATAGACCACCTCTAGAACAAATGGCTTTTGTCACTCGTCTAGCACATATCAATGTCCATGTGACAGAATACTTCTCCCTTAATCCTTCTGCTTTGCTAAATGGACTGTAACAAGGGCAAGATGCAAGTAATAACATTACTTGTGTTCACAAAGTTACGCACTCTCATAGTCCCGGTAGCTCGTAGGGCACA